TCTGGAACCAACTTCCAAGAGAAGTGGTGCAGGCTCCTACCCTGGGGGTTTTTAAGAAGAGGTTAGATGAACACCTTGCTGGGGTTGTTTGACCCCAGTACTCTTTCCTGCCATGGCAGGGGGTCGGACTAGATGATCTTCTCAGGTCCCTTCCGACCCTAGAAACTATGAAACTATGAAACTATGAAATAATGGAAAAGTTTATACACATTAAAGAATTAAAGGAGAGGAATACAGATAATGCCAGTCAGCATAGCCTTATGGAAAACCAGTCTTATCAACCTGGCTTCTATTCCATAAGTTTTTTGGTAGGTAATGATAAGTACATTGCTGTAACGCACTTAGACTTTTGTAAGGTGCTTGCCATATTACTGAATAACTTTCTGATTAAAAACATAGCACTTTACAGCATCAGTCAACCATAATGAATTAAGAATCAGCTGTCAAGAAATCTCAGAAAGCTCATGCATCTGGAAAACAAGAATGTAGCCCATGATTATAGAGCAGGGAATCCTATTCTGGGAGCAAGCGACTCTTTCGAAGACTTGGGTGTCATGGTAGATAGGCAGCTAAACATAGGGTTCCAGTTCAGTGCTGTGGCTGAAAGGTCAAATGAGCTTTTTTAGATGCATAAACAGGAGACTATTGAATAGGAGCAAGGAGGTTATATCATCTTGTGTCTGGCATTGATGTTACCAGTAGTGGAATACTCTCTCCAGTTTTGGTGTCTACAATTCAAGGAGGAGGTTGGAGAGGGTTCAGGGAAGTACTGTAGAGCTATGATTGAGGAAAGGGTTGGATGGCGTGCCTTAGTAGGGGATTTACGGAGCTCAGTCTGTGCTGTTTAACAAAGGGTGGCTTAATCATGGAGGATACCTTCATGGGGAACAAAAATCGATAGCAGAGGGGCTCTTCAGTCTATCAGACAAGGGCATATAAGCTCTCATGGGTGAAAGTTGAAGAAGGACTAATTCGAACTAGAGCTAAGGTGCAGATTTTAACAGTGAATTTCTATAGGAATAATTGAGAGCTATGGCTGATTCTCCCTCAGAGGAGTTATTTAGTTGAGATTAAGTCAGGCTGGATGTTTTTCCCCCTGGAAGACTGATTTTTTTGCCTGACTAGGCCAACCATGAGCTATTGCATTTAAAACAAGAACTAATTTAGGGAAGCTATATGGTGTGCGTTCTGCAGGCAGTCACCCTAGATAATCCGAAGGCTCCCTTTCGCCATAAAAGCTATGAATCCACACCTTCTTCTGCAACTCCCACAAACTGGTGGGGAAGAATAATAGCCATTTTCAAATATTTGAAAGGCCGCTGTAAAGAAGAGGGAGAACAATTGTTCTCCCTTGGCGCAGGGGGCACAATACGTGGGAATAGGTTGGAACGGCAGTAATGCAAATTCAGATGAGATCTCAGGATAGACTTCCCAGCTGTAAGAGCAGCAAAACAATGGCACAACCTGCCAACAGGAATTGTGGAGGGTTGCAAGAAGAGGCTGGACATCACCTGTCTGGGGTGGGTTAGGGGTAAGGGATCCTGCATTTGTGCAGGGGGTTGGCCTGAATGACCCTTGAGGGCCTTTCCAACCTTGTGTTTCTGTGACTGTCCTCATGGGCAGCTCTGTCCTGACCTTCCAAACTGGAAGGTAGCATGGGTTCACTGGGCCTGCTGGGGAGAGATGAGAGGGATTTTGCAGGAAGCCTCCTTTCCTCTCACAGGTTAACCCCCACAGCCGAAGACACATTTAATTTCCACTTTATGAATAGAGCTGAGCAGATAATTCATTTGGTCAATTTTTGCCCCTCTTAATATAATAGGCCTAAGAGCTCACGCAGAAGCCTCTGGACCCTCCTTCATGGCTCCCGTGACTATGGCTTGGTGCTGAAGTGTCTTCCCAGCTGAGTCAGTGTTAGAGATTCAGACCTTCACCATCTAATTTACTGAGATCCCCAAACAACTATTATCAATTCAACGTAATGAAAATGCAAACTACAACACCCCACTTTAATCTATTTTCCAAATACAGGATTGCACTTTCTAGACAGGCAGGCTGTGTGAATGCAGAATTGACAATGTCTATTATGTTGTTGATTCTGTTAGCAGATATAATGTGGTACACGTGATATATTTCACGGGTCACATGACAGATTAGTCTTAATTATTTGGTTATAATTTAAGTTCTCCGAGACTTGCCGAATTTTTCCTAGATTAACTTTATCTATTTTTAATTAGTTCAGTAATGAATGTTCTTTTTATATCACTTGTAAGACATGAAATGATTAAGACCTCAACTGACATCTGGTAGAAAATCATATTAATTGATCTTACAGTTTAAGGGCAGAAGCCACAAGTGGATCATCTGGTCTGCCCTCTGCACATCACTGAGTTCATGAAACCTTGTGCTCTCTCTGTATATCTTATTTAGTTAGTCTCTAAAGGTGCATCTCTACCCTGCCTTCTGACATTACATTTCACCCCCATACCCTTACACTGACCCCAATGTCAATTAAAGCCTTTCAGTCCTCATAGATTAAACGGTTGTGCCCCAAACAGATGGCAGGGTAGAGATGCACCTTACAGATAGACACAGAAAGCTGCAGCCATGTCTTTCTAAGCCGAACAATTTAATTCCATAATTTGCAACAGAAAAAAGAGGGGGAGAGCTTCTAAATCTATATATGAGATGAGAGCTGGATTCCATGTCTTTCCAAAAGGATGTTAGGTTAAACGTGTTAGCTTGGGTGCACAGATATAAGAGATTTCAGGCTTTAGTGTTCTACAGAAAATCTTATAACTAACAAGGAACTAGATTTATATGGCATTTCTTGTTCAGATGAGTGTCGCTGCACCTCACCCACCACTGAATCAGCAGTCGTTCAGCAGGATAGTTTAGGACCATAACTGGTGAAGTATGCGGAAACTCCGGGGGAAGTTATGCAAGCAAATTACAGTTACCGAGGCCTGAAAATCTAGGTAGACAGCTGCTGTTAAACTTTTGAAGTCTGACTAACAGTGCTATAAGAATTTTAAAAACAAAAAGTAAGGCTCTGCTGTTCTCTCATAGGTGCATAATGCCCTGTTTCTCCTTTGGATCATTGGTTCAATGCTGATCTGAAGTGGCTAGTCCCACCTACGTTCTCAGCACTTCTGCATCTCTCAGGGTACGTCTGGCTGTCGGAAGGAAGTGCCTAAGCCAGCTTTGTGCACACCAGCTCTGGCATCAGAAGCAGTACACCTGCGTTAATGTGGTGCTGCACTCAGGGTAATAAACTCCTCTTCTCTGTAGAGCTAATTACTGCAGGGCCAGCATCTCGCAAATGCAGCTCTCCCGGCTCCATTTCCAGAGCTAGCTCGGGTATCTCAGCTGGGTCCACGATATAGACGCACCCTCCGGCGTTATTGTCAGTGTGCTCAAATGCCGTCTCTCCTGACGGCACTTAGCTCTGAGATGGTGGTCCATGGCATCTTCCTAGGGATTTGCGGACCTAGTGAAAAGGTTCCTCAACAACAATAACAAGGAATATCAAAAGCCAGGCAGAGACCAGACGCGTTAGCAAGATAAACACCAGTACAAAGAGTGAAGATGAAAGGACAAATGGGACTGGAAGGAAATCTGTCTTGTTTGTTGGGGCGCTGCTAGGACCGCAGCAGAACAAGCAGGAACGAAGTGAATAATGAGATCTCCAAGGCTTCAGTGGGGATGAGAAGGGTGATTTGTGCATTGTGAAGGTGGCAGAACTGGCATCTTAAAAGCCTTGTATTGTCTATAACCTTTTGTCTCCCTCTGCTTTATGTAAACAGGCTAAGATATGGCTCCTGCCCACTTGTTTCTCTGTCGAGTAATTGTCCCCAGGCACATTCTCACTTGCAAGTGGTTGTGCTCAGCCCCTGAGCCTTTCTCTGGAGCCTTTTAGCCTTAGCAGAGTCTGTAGAGGGTGCTGTGACTCTACTTCCCCGCAGTGAGGGGGTAAAGGGCAGTGGGTATTTCCTCTCAGCCGCCTGGCTGGGCTGGGGCACTTTGCTGGTCCGCATTGGCAGCCTGTTCCCACTGGAAGCCTTGCACCCTCTGCATCCCTATAGTTGCTTTTTTCCTGCTTTGTCTTTTAATCCCTGAGGCCCTTTCCCACTTTCCCCACAGTGAGGGTTGAAGGTGCCCCCTGGCCCCCACACACACTTTGTTCCTAATGGTTTCTTTCCTGCATCAGGCAGCGCTGCCATTTTGGTCCCTTGAGCACATTTGGGACCAGGGACTCTTCCCTCACTTTCTGGCCAGGGAGCTATTCAAATGCCATCCCCAAAGACTCCTGGTTTCAGAAATTGTCCCCTTTGTGGGGAGTTATTCTAGTATACAGCACACATTCCTAGTACCTGTACTGCCTGGGAGAATCTCACATCTCTGATCGGTATGATGAGGGGAGGGGGCTCTATCCAGACCTCCACACCCTGACCTCTCAGCTTGGATGTTGAATGGCTCTCACAGGTAGAGCAAGGATGTTTTGTGCCTGTTAGAAACATCTCCAAACATAGCAGAAAGGACTTCCCCAGGAAAGGTGGAGGTTTTCCACTTGGTGCCACTCCAGACACCTTTCTCCAAGGCTAAGTACAGACAGTCAAAAGGCCCAAGGCTGAATCTGAATCCATCTTCACAGGTTAGTCTAAGCTGCACAGATTGAACCAACAAGCAAGTGAACAGACATTCACTTCTGATTCTGGAAATGCAGCCACGTGCCTGCAGTGGCCCGAGCCAGAAGGTGGGAGGCACTAGAGCACACCTCCATGCTCAGCTGGAGTAGACAGCTTGGGCCAAAGCTTGCCCACTCTGCAAGGGAGGGCTTATGGAGGAGGTGCAAAGCATCTTGGGATGCTGGGGGACTGTGAGTTAACTTGAATTTGGAGGGAATCTGGGACACGAGTTCAATAAATGGATTTAACCTAAATCAGTTAAGTCTGATACTACATCCAGGCTTATCTTAAACTGGTTTTGGCCATTTTGAAAGTAGTTTCTGCATGCTGAACTTCTGTTGTGTTACAGATTTGAACTGGTTTCTGATCACTTATACCGGTGTTTGTGTAATTTCTATCCCTAGCCCAAGTGATTCTTTGATTGTGAACTTTGTAGGCCACTTTTTTGAACTTAAGAACGTCAGCCTGAGATTTTTCAGGGGCTAGCAGAAGTGTTTCCCACCAGTAGAGACCCTGTTCTTCAGAGGCACCTGAACATGGTCCTCACAACTCGTATGGGCTTGCCCTTTGAGACTGGTGACCTGCTTTCCACTTCATCTTGGCATGAAGATGGCAGTTACCTCTCTGAGAAGGGTTGGTGAGATCCCAGCCTTGATGGTGGCTTCCCTCTATACTTTCTTTCTGAAAAAGTATTCCTTAGCATCTGCCTGAAATTCCTGCTGCAATTAATGAGTTTCACGTGGATCAAGAGGTATCTTTATAGTCACCTATGGAGCTGAGTCCTCACTACATATTCTGGATGTTAAGTGGGCACTGACCGGTTACTTGCACAGGACTAAGCTGTTCCAAAAATCTTCACAGCTGTTTGTAGCTAAGAGGAGAGGTGTAAAGGCATGGTGATATAAGCCTGTAGATCACCTGACTGGATATTGGGTCATATGAAGTTGTGCAATGAGCCTGCCAAATCGCATCTGCCCTCAATAGTCTCTGTCCACTTCACTAGAGCCCAGGGTGCCCCCATGGCTGCTCTTCCCAAAGTTTCTCTACCCGTCACCTGCAGGGCACCTACCTGGCGCTTGGCCCACATCTGTACAAAGCTCTCATGGAGTCCTCTAGCTTGGATACTGTTTTTGGCAGAGAGATCCTCCAGTCACCATTCACCTACAGCAGTAGTCTGCAAAGTGGGATGCACACACCTCAGGGGGTGCGCAAGACGATCCATTGGGGTGCGGGAAGAAAATATTAGGACTTCTATTTCTATTTCTATTTATATAAATATACATATATGGGGGTGCGTGCTTACATTTTTTTTACTGATGGGGTGCGCGAATATAAATAAACATATATTGGGGGTGCGTGCTCAAAAATTTTTTACTGATAGAGGTGCATGATCAAAAAAGTTGGGAGACCACTGACCTACAGTACTCCGAGACCCAGCTCCCCGTATGTGTGGCCCACTGCTTCGGAGGGGACGAGCAAATGAAGGAGAAGAAGCAGCTTCTTACCAGTGACTGGCCACATCCCCCCAGTCTGACTGTGGACAAAACATCTTGGAGATCTCCAGTTACTGGTTTCATTCATCTGCTTGAGGCTGTCCCTGTTTGTATTTACAAGGCCATAAAAATGGCAGATGCAAGACTAGGATTTGTCAGATGCGATAATTCCTGTAGGGAGAAGGAAGTATTAGTACCATTGTACCAGTATATGGCGTGCAGTTCTGGTCACCAAGGTTCACGCTAGAGCCAGTGCCAAGAAGGGCTGTTAGCATGACCAGGTGAATGGAGAGCCAGACACAAGAGAAGAGATGAAAAGGAAGTCTGAGATGGGATACGGCTGCTCTGCATACAAACGTGAGAACTGAGAAACGCCAGGGAGGGAGAAGAGCTATTTAAATTAGGGGGCAGGATGCAATAGGGATTAAATGACAGTTGCTTGCAGTAGAAGGGGAGTGGATTTGATGACCCTAGAAGTCCCTTCCAGTCCCTGTTTCTAAACTCTAATTTCTATTTCAGTAACACACAGATCACGCGTGAATTCAGCCATGTGAATGGTGAATTCAGCTGACTGGTTTAGTGTCCAGACACAGGGTAACGTGGTCAAACAGCCGAATTCCTATTCGTGTTAAAAGCGTTCAAAATCATAGATTAGAATTTGAAGTCCAATTTTACTGTCTTAGTGCGGTGGAAATGCTTCCTTTGTGGAATAATTTGTTTTCACATGCTCTTGATCATCTTACCGAAGTCATCTGTCCTGAATTGCGCTCTGCATCTCTTTTGTAACAGCATGCTTAGGTAGGAACAGATGACCTGCATCTTTCAGCTTCAGTCAGAGTCTTTGAAGCTAGAGGAACTAGTTTAAATGTGCTCCTTTTGTGAGGCTGGTAATTTGGCAAGCAGTAATTTCCTGGGAAGAAAGGTGTATTATTATTATTTTGCTATAGGAAACGCTCATATTTCAGTCCCGAGATGCGGAAGGTGCTGCAGGAATTCTAAATGAGCCCGTAGCTGTGTGCCTCGGAGCTGCGGTAGACGTACCGGCTCAAAATGAATTTTGATGTCTTTTCAGCCCTAAATCCTTTACCTACCAAGAACACACAGCTCCAATCAGTTTGTTTGTGTTAGATTACTTTATATTCTGACAATGCTTTCTGAATGCGGCGCTCAAAGAAAATCATTCATCTTATCTCTGATTCTCTTGGAGAAAAAGATGTATTGCCAGACATCAAAGGCAAAAAGCCTGCTCCAAGCCCACTGAAGTAAATGGAAAGACTCCCACTGCCTTCGCTGGGTTTTGTACCAGATGCTGTGTTCGAAGATAATAATGATGCAGGCACTGGGAGCATTGTGGTTTAATGGGCTAGGTACTGACTTGTTGATCTAAGGGCCTTGGCTGGGGGGGATTTCTTTTCAGGGACGGAGGTGCTGTTTCGGTGCTGCTCAGCCTCTTACCTAGGTTGCAGTGGAGTTGAGCCAAGATGTAGATGCCTGGCTGTTTCAAAGGGGGCACCTCTGGCTGTAGGTGACCCAAATTGCACTGAATTAATTTAGAAACCCAGAGGGGTTGTGTGGCCACTGAACCAGGGGTGTTCTGGATGATTTTTTGCTTTGAAATCCTGTGCAGGTGCTTCATTGGTCGAGTTGGGTTTTGCACGAGGTGCTCCAGTATGGAGCACTGTACGGCGGTTATAAGGGCTCTGTGATAGCATACATTCATAGATGAGTTACACATCCATAAACTACCACAAATTAGATTGGGCTGGTTTGTGCCAACTACACACTGAAGTGGGGGTTATTCTTTGGCTGCCCCCCTTCTGGTCATTGCTTTTTCTCTTACAGCAGCTCTGTTGCCCGTGATAGACACCATTAGGACACAGACGGATTTTTGTGGATGATGTAAAGGCTGTTGACATCCTTACAAAGGTGGAGGGGAGCTATATATATGCTTACTTTCCTTGTGTGTGTGTTTTTATGTATATGTATCACACGCACATGGAGAACAAGCATATCCAGAGATACAGCAGTTAGTGCTGAAAAGGGATTGGAAGGAAGAATAAATCTCCTGTTTCGAGGCATATTGAGGTTTTGGAGGAAGTTTTCCTTGAAGGCAGTGTTGCCAGTTCTAGGTGTTCAGAAGTCATGAGGAAGGCTCCCCTAATCATGAGATTATAAAAAAAAAGATTTTAAACTTCTGTTATTAGTTTTCTGCACCTCTAGGGTGCTCTTGGTTCGTGCTTTAGAACTTTTCTCCATTACCCAGAAGGCTCGAAACGTACTTCTTCAAACCCAAACAAACCCCAGAGCTGACCATCTTCTGTCTAAGTAACTGCATTCAGGACTGGATTAATAACACCTCCAAATGTTGCAAGACTTATGGCAAAATGTCAGGGACTGGCAGAACTGCCCTAGCCAGCTCCTTGGAGGGTTTTTTCACCTTCTCTGAAGCAGCTGGCCAAGACAGGTTGTCCATCTGATCCAGTCTGGCAGTTCCTGTCTCTAACTATTCATTGGTTTCCTTTAATGTGGTTTTATTTGGTAAGGGACCATAACACGATTCTTGTCACTTCAGGATCCTGATGACGTTTCCAGAGTCTGGGCTGCATTCAAATTCCCTCGGCAGCCAGTGAGAACAGGTTCGGGGAGGGGAGTCGTGCAAATCTAAACATTTACCTTTAAATGATTCTGGAGATTTGTAGCCAAGCCCTGGGCCCTGCAGGGATCTCCCATCCCTGTTTTCTATCTTAAAGGCACTGGAGCTCATCCTCCAGTGCTGCTGAGCCCCTGTGACAGCACACTAATCCTCCCCGACTTCACAGCATGCTCGGAAAATTGCAATTTCCTTTTCTCCGTTGAAACAAATTCTTATCGTTTCCAGCACATGGCACTGTGGCTGACAGGACGTGGTCCCTGTCTGCACACCAAGGCTGGAATTCAATTTGGGAGTTTGGCTGCTTTGCATAAAACCATGTCAACACTCACGTTTGATGCTGCCCACAGGAAGTCTCAGCTAATGGACGGGATAGCGCTTAGTGGAGGCCTTTGCTTTATAGTGACCGCCTGCTATATCAGACTTCAGTGAATTGCTGCCTTTCCCATTTGAAATCCTGTATTTCCAGGTGATTAAAACTCCCCATTGGCTGGCACTTAACAGTTAGCCATGCAATTTCCCACCATTGATTTAACATGCATTTATTCAGCTCTTTGTTACAAAACAGACTCTTGCTCTCACCTTAAGTGGTACGAGGCATTGTCTTCAGTTTGGGAACACAGTTGCCCAACAGGGGTTCTGAAGGTGCTGATGTGAAGTGCCTGAGATCTTTTACAAAAAACAATTGGAAAATAACTCCCAGGCCCAGGTAAGTGTCACTATTAAACTTTTTTGAGATTGTTTTAGTGATCCTCACGTTCTCTAGTATGGGAGATGAGTACCACAGAAGGTACCTGATACCTGACACCTCCCCGGATTTATCCTGGTGGAATGCCACTACCTTCAGTTTATATAACATTTCCAGATATATATTAATTTCATGAGATCAGAATAAGCTTCACTGTTTTCAGTGAGAAATTGGTTGGTAACATGGGCAGTGCATCCATTCCACTGCTGTTATCTTGAGGTTTAAACATGACACACTGCTCATTCCTTTGCAGAATTTGGCAGCAGTGGTTGAACTGGCCTGAGCAGTGCCCGACAGCAGCTGTTTCCCATGTGGGGCTACATGCACTGGAGAAGGCTACTTGGGTTCTCTGCACCACCCTGCAGTGAGCAAGCAGTCGGGGTTTTGTATCATAGTGAAAGGATAAATTAGGCAGCTCTGCATCTATGATCTTTGGATGCCAACATGTTTCTTTCAATCACAATCCAAGTGGAGCAAGTCAGACTGCGAGCTGGTAGTAGACTTATCAGCAGGAAAGGAACAGCAGAATCCCAGTGATGAGTCCCATCATGTCCCTTTGCTTAGTGCTTGTTTTATTTCCAAAAACAAAACTCAGGACCAGCACAAATTGATGAAGACTCCTGGGGACTCAGCACCCACAGCATTTTCCACTTTTATATCCTTTCCTTACTGTAGCGTCCCTTGAGTCAGTGTCCCCTAGACGTGTGCAATCCAGTCCAGATTAGCTAGGATGTAGGGAGACATGAAGTCCTCCCATGCTGGTGTTTCTTTGCACCTTGTTAAAGAGCTAATATGCCTTTAATGCTCACCAAATAGATTAAACCATAAGGAAGTCTCCTTGCTAAGGGAAAAGGACTCTTCTGGAGAAAACCACGCCAAAGGCCCTCTGGAATGCAGTCCTTCAGGGTGAACACTACCTGGGTGTTTTCCCTGTGCTTTAGATGCTTTAGATCCCTGAGGGGGAGATGGCCAAAGGGCAGCTGTGTTAGGAAGTCACTGGGACTTCAGTGCCTAGCTCCACTCTGTGCCCCTGAAAATCTCCTCTTACGTTACCAAAATGAGCTGATGTCTGAGAATACGTACAAAGGCTCCAGGGGCATCCCAGCTCCTACTCTGTTCTACATTGTACCTAGAAGGATCATAGCAAAGTATGGCTGGAATGGACCTCACATAGTCATCTAGCCCATCCCAGTCCAACCTGCTCTTGAAAATTTCCAGGAATGGAGATTTTGCAACCTCTCTAGCTGCCTGTTCCAGTGCTTGACCATGTCAGAAAGTTCCTCCTAATCTCCAACCTAAATTTCCTCTGCTGCAGGTTGAGGCTATCATTCCTAGTCCTGTCCTCCACAGCCCCAGAGAAAAGCCCTTCTCCATCCTCTTAATAATCGCCTTTCAGGTATTTGAAGACTGTTGTCAGATCCCAAGGGCAAAGGTACATTTGAAGGTGAGCACCCCAACAGTTTACATCTAGATCCCTTCTGCTGTGGAAGGAATTCACTGCCTGTTGTGCAAGGGGTGTTCAGCAGAGAATGTGTGTGTCGCACACCATTTGTTACGTGAGCTACCGTTACTCGCCCATATAAATATTGTAATAGGCCAGCACTGCTATGTCAATTCCTGCATGATTTTATGCTAATATTCCTCACACTTTCTAATCAAATATTTACAAACAAGCCCATCACACTCTGGCATCCTGCGGAGGCTCTCTGAAGGAAACCTTTCATTTTCTTCACTCCAACATAAGTTGATGAGACTCTTTGTGGAGGAGGAGCTAGTGTGAAAGCACACAGATGAAAACAATACTTCTGCCAAACACTGTAGCCTGTTGCTTTCAACTGCCGGCTGGCTTTATTCATTTGCCTAACAGTGATGTTAGCAAGCTGAACTGATCAGAAGGTTATTCACATTGTGTTAAAACACATGATTACAAGGGTG